TGAAAAACTAAACAAACTCGGATATTTACTGAAACTTTCTCCATGATATGGTCTTCCAGAACATCAGCCAGTGATTGCTATATATAACGTGTCATAATATCCCACAATCTGAAGCTGAGCTTGAGTTGGACAAATTCTTCACAAGTACTGTAAAGAAGATCATTTGTAGAAATAAGGTGTAAAGGGGAAGAATTACATGGTTTGTGATGTCCTCTGAAACAGTCATCATGGTGACAAGGGACATCCAGCAGACAGTCTACCCAGGTTTATAAAAAATTCAAATTTGTTTCTCCAAAGCCTCCTACAGAAATTTGGCTGTTAGAGGTTTGGAGGGAAGAGCATTATGCATAGAAATACAAGAAAGAAAGGGTAGGAATATATATATTTAGTCTTTTCTCAATAGAGAGAGGCTACCAGTAGGTCTATGCTGTTTTACATAGACCTTACTGATCTATAAAAGATCTATAAAGAGCAGGCTGGAAGATTTTTAGTGACACAAAGCTACTCAGGATAGCAAAAATAAAGGCTGATTGCAAAGAGCTGTATAGGGACTCACAATACTAAGTGACCAGGCAATAACATTGCACATGAAATCCCATGATATAACGGTAACACAATGGAGAAGTAAAGCAATCTTAACCTTACATGAAGAGTTATGAGCTCTGTGTATTTTCATTCACAAAAGAAATGTTGGAACTACGCTAGCTAGCTCCCTGAAAACTTAATCTCAGTTCCCAGTGGTACTCAAGAAAGGAAACAAAAGATATTTGGAATTACTGAGAAAGAAGAAGAAAATAAAAGAAAACAGGATGCTGCTATAAAAATCCATTTTTGTGGTCACACCTTGAGTATTGGGGCAAGTTTTGATCTTGCCACCACAGAGATGCTACGCTGTTAATGATTAGCACATCATAACGACCACTCCGGTACATGCCAGCTGTCTCTCAAGCAAAATTCCACACTGCAACAAGGATGAGCCCATCTTCTTAAGGACACTTAACTCTTCTACATCACTTGTCTTCCAGGGATCTCAAAGCATTTTACAAAGAAAGGTAAGTATCATCAAGCTTGCTTTATAGCTGGGGAAACTGAGACCTAGAGTAGCAATATAACTTGTTCCAAAGTCAACAGCTGATGAAGGCAGAGACAGACGTGAACTCCCCTTATGCCAGCATCTAATTGATTGTGGTGAATTATTTTCAATGAGACCCAAAAATCAGAGGTTAGAAAACTGTTCATTTATCAAGCACAAGTGAAAAATCTATTAACGCTGAATATAAGGTTTGAAAAACACTAAATATTTGATCTGCCTGCTTGAAAAACTGAAGATTTAATACAATTTTAGCTCTGAAAAATGTTGCAGAGCAGTTCATATCTGAGGTCAGTTCACAACAGTAAGTACTGAAAAAAAAAAAACAGCTCAGTCAACTGACTCTGATGCCTGTTTTCTGAGGTTCATCCTCTGATCTTGCTGCGTTTTCATGGTTCATCAGTTCTTGGACAGGGACCACATTTAAAGGTGCACATAAGAAATGCATCTTTCTTAATAAAATCGGGTTGAATCTCATTTCCCTAGCATATATTTACAACCCTTTTCCCCTTTTTTACCTTCAGAGAGGGATGTATGATTAAAAGTTGGTTGTTCCATTCTGAGGAAAGATACCAGAATTCAAAAAAACCCACTAATTTGAAGAAAAAATACCTACCAGAGTGCATTTTTCTAGTGCTAACATAAATTGAAATTCAAAGCATATGAGGTACTAAATGGTTAGATCTCTCCAGGGATATGTTCAAGCCCAAATTTATTCAGGAATGAAACAAAGAAGGATGATTACCTGCATTTTCTTCCTCATATTTTTTTGTCAATCCCCCCCCTCAAGTTACTCACTCAATATTCAAGATCAGTATTTATATATAGTCTCCTTTGCCTCAGAAATTGTGTCTGAAATTGTTCCCCCGTTTTCAGCTCAAGTCAACGTTCAAGTTTCTTCTAAAGACAAGTAGGAAAGCAATCAAACGAATCTACTGCATCGTTCAATGTTTTTGTACCCTGAGATATAACAGAGAATTATACGGTTTAAAGATGGACTTGAGGACTGCTACTATGATCAAAGGGCTTTATTTTTGGCCTATCTTTTATTTCCCAGTGAGGGTTAGAATGCCTACATGACCTGTTTCTTGGTGTTATGCTGCAGCAGTTCAATGCATAGAGACAAGAAAATGAGAAATCAAAACCAGTGGAAATAATTTTTGACAGTCAAAAATCCTCCTATCTATTAAAGAGACTTGGCATCTTTAGAAGCAGGTTTTTTCCCTCTGGAACTAAGAATAGTTACCAAGAAGAGCAGTCTAATCATATTGCCACTGGCTGGTATAATGAAGCCTCTTGAACACATAGCGATGCTACCTTTGTCTAACAAGTAACCAAAATTCATCTGAGCTGTACACTGGGCACTTGGCTCTTAACTAACTAAAGTGGGTGAAACCAATTTTAACTGTCACAGGCTGAGTGCTTGCATGCAGACAGGAACCGTAATTTGATACAGCTTTTAGGCTTTTAGCTTTTAGCGTGAGCCCACTTTTGGAAGTAACATTAATTTATTCTAGTAACATTCATGTCTTTTTATTTCCAGCAGTACACTGGGATTATTCTCTCACAGAATTACCCTGTATGCTCCTTCATAAAACATGAACCTCAGCTGAACATTTCAATTCTTCATTAGTTCAACTCATTAGTTGTGACTGAAAGAGGTCACAGAGTTGTATTATTTTTGAAATCTTTGCGTCTTCCATTTCTGGTGACCACTGTTCACTGGAGGGAAGAATAAAGCAACACTTTGTCCCCATCTATGTTAAGGCAGAAGCATACTGAGGGGTGATGTCTGACTCTATTGCCCCAAGTACATGGGAGATGTCAAACTTCAGCGCCCTTAATACAACATTTCTCACAGCACCCTTGAAAGGGTCAGTAACTCCAATAGTAATAAGGAATGTTTGAGTCATTATGAACAATTTGGTTTTATTTGCATAAGGATCAAAAAAATGAGCCTGCTAATTTGCTTTAACACACTTCAGAGCTGTATATTTTAATTATAAACACAAGACTCAACTGTCAGTTAAAAAAAAATTAAAAGGGTGGGGCTCATTTTAGCCATCAGGGGTGTATTGTAACAGGAATTTTCAGATCTGCCTTTTAGATTATATTTCCAGAAACCTCTTTTACTCACCCAGCAGCACTTTCTGATAAGAGTAATCATAAGAAGGAAGGAAGGGCCTGCCCTTATGTTACTTCTCTAAATTGTATCAGCTGCTTTCCACCCCCCCCTGCAATTACTGTTGTTATCTCATTAGTGGTTTAATTAGAGCTCAAGTTCAGGTCAATGTAGAAAGGTTCAACACACAATGTCAGTTCAGGGCAGTATGGTTATTGGCTCAGTTTAGAGGGGTCTCAAGGCTGCTCTAAATTAAAGGCAGATATAATGACCTGTAAATAAAGCAGCAGCCTCCAACTGTACCTCCGTTTTCAGTGGCTCTTTGGGGTCTTTAAGTAGAAAGTGCTGTTCTGGGGAGAATAAAGCTATTTTCATGATTCTAAACTACCTATGGTATCTGCCAGAGATGTTATCCAAGGATATTACAGATCTTGTTGACTAAAGGGGTTATGGTAGATTCGCAGAATTCTAGGCAACGATGTGAAAACTAAATGCTCAAAGTATTGCAAACCTGCTACTCTGTGTTGTCTAAATAGGATTTGTTTGTGAGTTAGTCTCTGCATCAGTGAGTCAATTTACTGTGACGTTGTTTGTGTTTTTGGGATGGCTCCCTTGGTGATACGCAATTATATTGTGTGTATCACACAATTGTATTTCTCTCTTTAGAACATGAAGAAAAGAATTCTTATATAAAACCAGACTCCTACTATGTTTTTTCTCTTTTTGGCTACACACAATATGATCTGTTTGCTGCATCTTACCAATTAACACAGAAATTAACTCTCCTTATTTCAGGCTAGGAAACATTCGGAGTAGTAGCTTGCTTCCTAAACAACAGAGAAACTTTTTTCTTGCTCAATCATGTGAAAGGCACAGCACTGACAAGGTGAGAGCGAAGGGCTTCTTAGCCTTGAAAAATCTGCCAGTGGCTGCCTGTTCTGGAGCATTTGCACCTTCCCCATGGGTGTTGGAGTGGCATAAGAGGCAGCTATAGCAAGTCTTGGTTCCCTAAGAGAGGGGCCCCCATTGAGCCCTCTGAATTCTCTGTTAGGACATCTGCCTTCTTCCCAGGTGTTTTTTACCACAAAGGAGTGGAAGAATACAGTTGGGTTTTTCATCATTTTCCTTTCTAATAGCATTGACCTTTTCCATCCACATCCAGTATTTTCTGGGAAAGCTTAGTTGATGGTTCAAAATGGTTTATGAGTGAGCTTCCTTCTTCCTCTGCCTACTGTTCGTCGGCACAGGAGACAGTGTTGGATAAACAGATAAACAGCCTGTTAACTGTAGGTGGTACTGAAAAGGACACTTAAGAAGAGGAAAGCTAACAAACAAATACACAGCAATGATGGGGATATAGAAGATGTAGATGACTGTACAAGGAGATGTAATTCCTTACTGTGATTACCACATTTTTCTAATCAATGTGCCTGACAGAACTGCCCTAGTTCTCAAGAGCCTCAGGTGGATGAGCACATACGGTAACACACCTCCTGTTTTTGAACATTTTGCCTTCCCATATCTCAAAACATGGTACAAAGGAAGACAAACAGCATTACAGAGGGAGAAGAAAATAATGTCCCAAGATCAAGGAAACAGCCAAAACCAGATCACTGCAGTTCTGAATTGTAGTGTTAGCTACTGTGGCAGCTTCAGAGAACAGCTGAAGATGTTTGACCTTGACTGTGGCTTATTTTACATAAAAGTAGATGTGGAACATCACAGATGCCAATCAAATCATCTCTCAGTGGGAGATGGCAGTGTCCTTCCACTCACAGACATGCTTACCAGAAGAACAAGAATCACTGGCCCTTGATATATGTAGTCAATATATTTCCCCGGCTCTTTTCCAAACCAGCATCTGTAAGAAACAAAACAAATAAGAAAATAATTTATAAAGAAGAATGCACTTCTTTTTGATTGTAATATCAAGGACACCATAGAGAGATGTTCCCTTATTCCCCAAGTTGCTTAATCATATACATAACCAGCAAGTGATTTAATTTTCTGCTACAAAGCCACCTTTTGTTTGGGCACAGATCTGAGCCCCATTTTCCTCTCCATTAGACCATTCATGTTCCCACTATGTTTTTGGCTATTGCCCATGTAAATATTTCCAAGAAATGCGAGAACCTGCCATAAGGAGGACGCAGAAGATGTGTTCTGCTGCATCTGAAAAAGGGATGAAAGAAATATTCTGAATAAGGAAAAAAAATCTGTTATCTATTGAAGTGCTCAGAGACACTTCAAATTCCATAAAGTAAGGGCTGTTACTTACAGCAAAGAGGTCTCAAGTTGCATGGAAATGCTGACTAAATAAGGTACTGAATAAACTAGGAGTTCATCCCACTGTTTTTGAACCAAGCTGGTGACCACCAAATCCAGCATATAGTACAGAGACTTCCTTTGAAACCAGCAAACACCTGATCCAACATCACCAAAAGGAAATAATTCAGGTTAAGTGAAACCACAAATAAACTGAAGGGTCTCAAACTAGCAGAGAGCCTGGACATGTCATGTGTGACTGAGTGCTGGCTTGACTTTCACGTCTGCTAATTATAAGTGTTTTTCTACCTGCTGTGTTATACAACAGACTTAAGCCTGTTACTTCACAGCAACCCATAACGACATTCACTTCATTCTCTTAACTGAGAGTAATAAATCAGTTATATTTATGTTAGAGAATGAAGAAACCGGGCTTGGGTCTGGACTCAGTCATTTACACCACTACATTTTCCTCGGTGTGGTTTTGGCCCAGAGCAAACAATAGCCAACTACTAAACTATTCCTGGGGAACAAATCTGAAGCTAGTATGAGCCAGAGGACATGCCCAGTAGTCTGTAAATTGCAACTACCCTGATTTGGAGGCCAAGAGGGTTTAATAATATGGATGTGAACTACTCTGTGCTATTTGGACTCCAGCTCCAGGAGCAATTCCAGATCCAGATAATTTAATATTACAGATACAGCCACATGGTCTGGATCCTCGTTCCACTAAGCAGACAAAACTCTGCTATCATAATGCCTTAAGGTTTAGGTCACTCGAGCTCTGGATCCCTTAGGAAGTAGCTTTTGGAGTGCAAGGGTCTAAGAGTTTTCTTCCCTTTTGTGGCTACCACACAACACATTTACACAGCAAAAATTATGCCTTCCCTGTGTTCGCCTTGTGAAAAAAGGTAAGCTTAGTGTCACCAGAGATGAAAATAAGGGTAACTCCTGAGCCAAGGAGACCATGGAGACAGGTGCAGATTTGCACTTTTACAATCATGCAAGAACTAATACTCATTGCCTCAAAGAGGTTGCAGTCTGTAAGACATGACCTCACGAGCTCAACACAAATTAACTGAGATAAGCTATTCAGATAGAATTCTTTTGAATCACATAATGCCCCCAAAGACTTTCTCCAAAACGTTTTTCTTGCTGAAACATAAGGAGCTATTTGACCACTGAAAAATGCTCTTCTTGAACCGACTGTACAGAAATGTTGAGATATGCAGCAGGTATCTAGGAATACAATTCAGCATCACACAATTGTTTGCCTTTTCTTGAGTCAATTACTACATCTTTTAAGTTCCAAATGAATGAGAACTTTGAATATTTTATAAATATAAAACATGTCTGTTATTCCCTGGTGTACTGACTGCAAATTATTGTAAATTGATAATTTTGCAACTAATCTTCCAAAATTTGGTGATGACAGCAAATCTTGGAATAAGGCACTTTCTCCAGTCAAGTTATCATCTGAGAAGAATCCCTGGGGCAGCCTTAAATGAGTCAAACTGATTTTTTTCTTTAATTTTTTTTTTTTGTTATTATAGAAATGGAAATATATGAAGAAAAATTAATTAGAAGGTATGCCAAGGCAGGAAACACAACTCTCCAGAACTTTCAAGACCTACATTTGAGAGAGGTTTTTGAAGGGCATTTTGGGACAATCGTTATATATTGCCTGAAGCTCAGAGAACCATGAGCTATTAGAAGAGGAGTTTCTGGGAAGCTGGCTGTTCTGGCAGAGGAATCTAGCTGAGGAACTAATAAGAACCAGACTGAGGCATGTGGCAGAACTTAGTGGGCTACAAAAAGTCATCAGAGAATTTGGAACAGGGCTGGTAGAGCATAAATGATGTTCCAGGGCAAAGGCTGCTCATTGCTCTTTGGAATTTAAATATTTCTTAACTGTAAGACCATACTGAAGAGCAAAATGCTGACATTTATTATCTGAAGCCCAGTATTAGACCACGGTTGCATTGAGTGAAGCATCATGTATATATACAAACTTTCACACAATTTGAGGAATCAAGGTTGTGGCCAAAGGTAGACTTCTACAATACAGGCATCTACAGGAGAGCTTGATGCTCTAGGTTCCTCTTTAAGTTAGTGGAGGGGAAAAAAGCAGCTTTTCTAGGACAGTATTCATCTCATTAGGCTATAAACCAGATCTGTTACACTATAATCTAACATCTAATCATGTGTGTAAGGGTGAGAGGACAGACATCTGACAGTGATACTACATATGTCCGCATTTGATTAGTTATATTTCATATTTACAGTCTAACTGCTCAAACTGGGACTTTAGCTGAGATATCGTAAACTTTTCTGCCTGTCATCTTAACTCTTGTGTTGAATCCAACATAAGCCATTAGTTCTGAAAAAAAATCATCACTGCACATTTCTTTAAAACCAAAAAGAGAAACCTAAACCACTGAAAATTACTTGGTGCATCATGATTTTAATTCCATCTGTGTGAAATGAAAGCCATTTTCTTTTTGATTAATTTATCTTTTTAATTGTTTGTTTGTTTGTTTATTTATTTATTTAATTTTTACCTCTGAAAGAATAAACAAACCCTCCCTGAATATTGAAGAGGACAATTTAGGAAGACAGTTCTGATTAGATTCGGGTATGTAAACACACTTCTGCTGAATAGCACTAATTAATATTCTTCATGGTTCTCTGATAGTTCTTTACATAACAAAAACCACCATTGATTTTATTATTATTGTTAATTAGATCTTACTAATGTTCTTCCCCTTATCAACTGTCCATCAGTGAAATTACTACAGTAATTCTTAATCCCAGACAGGATATTTGCTACAGTAACAATTATATTTGCCTCATGATGAAGAACATGGTATCTAATAAGTTAAAAAATTAAAAAAATTAAAAGTTGGTTGAAGCATTTTATTAACATTCTTCCTCTGTTCTATTTTGAGCTTTTAAAGTATTGAGCTACATAACTTGAACCCCAGTTCAACTTAAGTTATAGCTGAAACTCACACTCAGATGAAGAAGAAGAGTTTCCCATTCTGTCCCAAATTTTGGGCTGTCCCCTGGGATATCCAAACCATCTTGGAAGCTGCAGAAGAATACATGTTTTCTGCATGTGTCCTGTTTGCTAGGTCTGACCTCATGGGGAAATAACACATGATTTCCCCAGTGGTCAAGAAAAATGAAGAACAGTTAGGCTGACTGGGGAGATCAGCCTGTTTTCACAGAATAGCTGATGTTTTAACAAGTACCTCCGGAGATCATCTAGTGCATTCCCCTGCTCAAAGCAGTTAGCTGAAACAGGTTGCTCCGAGCTGTGCTCAGTTGGCTTTTGAGTAGATCCAAGGATAAAGACTCCACAATTTTCCTGGCCAACCTCTTCTACAGTTCCACCACCCTCACAGTAAAAAGGTGTTTCCTGATGTTCGGATGGAATTCCATGTGTTTCAGCTTGTGCCACTGCCTCCTGTCCTGTCACTGGGCATAACTGAGAAGTGTCTGGCTCCACCTTCTTCATACCCTCCTATAAGATATTTATGAACATTGATAAGATCCCCCTGAGCCTTCTCCTCCCCAGGCTAAACACTCCCAACCCTCTCAGCCTCTCCTCACATGAGAGATGCTCCGGTATCCTGACAGTAATTATTTTTCAAAACCAGGGATTAATTTTATCTCATCTATCTGTATTTTCACACACTTACAGAATTCAAATTAAAGGCATGACTTCTGCATCATCCCAGCACAGAGAATGGATTTTGTAATCCTTTCATTTCCTAATTGTAAATGCCACAAAGTTTAGTCTAAATTGTCCCAATGGCTGATGGACTGGAGAGGAGAATAGACCATAAGTTAAATATACACATGTGCACACCCTACACACATGAACCACAGGTGCATTCCTACATGAGCTTCGGTTTGACTGTGTAGCAGTATCTACTCCTTTCTTCAGCCTGGGAGGCAGTCAGTAGGGGTTTTCTGAAGTATCACATGCTTTAATTTTTGAGAATATGACTGAATATTTATGACAACTGACACGCTGTCAACAAGTTATTCATCTCTTGTTTTGCTTTCGTTCATTTACTTTACTGAGTTTCCTCTGCATATGACATTACTACAGATGTGAAAAGCAGATTTCATTTAATAGCCTTTGCTTTACAGCTTAATGCCCTTACCAGCTCTTCATTTACAAGAGCTCTGCCTGTCTGTCTGGGTGCATGTGATAGATCACAGGAATGGCACTACTGAAGCATCCAGTCTTGATTTCTCAAGCAAAGTACATGAATCTTGGCCTCACTGCTGACAATAAGCAAGCACAACACTGAGGCTCCAAGACATTACACCTCACATTATGGTGAGCAGAAGCCAAATTCTGCACTGTCTCAGTGCACAACACAGTTGGAGTAGCTATGATGTGCAGTGAGGATGTACGCGAATATATCACCCCCAAGACAAACACCAGCATTAAAATCAGAAAGGTGAGAACATCCCAAGACATTAAGTTTAATTGTCTGGGTCAACCAAGTGTAACTTCCCACCTCCCTCACTAGTACGACTGTGAGGCAAATGATGTATATGAGTTAGTGTATGGGTTTGTGCAGGACATGGATTTAAAAACATTAGCTTCATTTGATAATCCATTCAAAGTAGAGATCTTGAGCCTAGAGACTCAACAGAAACAGCCTGGATATTCTGCATACCAAATAGGATCACTTTGTCTTTCTTTCCCTGATGACTGTATTTTGCATTGCCCTTTTTTTTGTTGCATGGGGTCTGGGCCAGTTACACCTTTGCTGGTGAAAGGTGGCACACATACCTATATAAACATGTTATGTCTTTCTTCATATCCATGATATACCAATGGGAGATTCTTTCACATTCACTTTGCAGGTATACAATGATGATGGAAGCAGGCAGTGGTACAGGTGATGCAGTGGTTTCTCAATCTTTCCACCTTGTGTGAAGTGCAATCCCAGTTGTTGTAGCATGTTTCTATCAGGGGTCCTACTTTCCATTATTTCTTTTGGGATTGATGAGTGATCTTCCAAAATTAGGTGTTCAAACCTTGGTGTCGAACTCACTCACAACAGGAATGTTTAAGGTGCATTGCCATTATTAAAGCATGTGGTGTTTTGCCTCTCCAGGTTTCAAGACACAAGTTTTGGTTATTTTGTTTTGTGCTGAAACAAGGAGGTCTGTGAACACGGAAATTAGGGAAATCTGGTGATCTGAGGTTATCTCACAGGGCTGAATGATTTGGAGACCCAAGGAACAGGTTCCAACTGAAGTTTTTCTTGCCATTTTGAGACTACAGTATAAATTCCCATGTATGATTACTGTAAGCAGGGCTGGAAATACACAAAATGTCTCCCTAAGTGAAAGGGTGTCTGTCTGAGTGCCAATATGTGTAACTGCTGTGAATTAGATTATCGTCCTCAAAGTCACTATTAAAGCTACAGAAGAGAGACTGGTTAAGTGTTCAAAAGTTTGTGGGGAGCAGAGAAGAGACACTTAGTTGTCCATAATAGAATTCTTCCCATGCCTACAGAATAAATGCCCGAATCTCAGCCAGTCATCCCATCCATCTCTCTTGTGATCAGGAGAAATAGTAAGTCTAATGTAAGTCTAATTCATCCAACCTACTTTGGACATCTCCTTCCAGATGAGATAAAATACACCTGAGACTGCATTTACTGTTTTGACTGATCACCACTGATCATAAGAGACCACAAGGTTAGTGCAGATGTAGACACCTATAAGGTAGATACTTACATATAATCAGATGTGCTATAGACAGACAAACAGTGTGGTCATATGAAAAACAGATTCATGGAGAAAAAAAACTTTTTTAAGGTTAAGGAAGGGAGCTGTAACACATAACAGACATTGATACAAACACTAGTTGAAAAATACAAGCTGAGCTATATCTGACCAGTATCAATGTTTGGGGAAAAATTCCCAAAACACAGATGCCTCTTTATCTCTCATATTTTTCAATTTCATGCACTAACTGCTTCCAACTGGAAAATCCAAAAACAGAAATGCAAAAATTCCAGCCATAAGACTATTTTTGGCAGACTGTCAATTGGAATCTGCACACCCAGAAGGCTAAATCCTTTAGCACTCAACTGTAGTTTTTACCAAGGTCTTACTCAAGCAAAACTCCCATTGAAGGAGATTACCCTGACTGTAAATCATGTATAAAGCTATAAAATGAGGCTTCAGGGCTTGGCCAAGGATATTTGGGAAAGTTATTTTCAAGAACTGACTCAAGTAGTGCTCTGAAATTTGAGATAATCTGGATTTGGATGGAGGTGATGTGACCCTGCCTCTTTCCTATCAATCAGCCTTATTTCTTAATTATCAGCTCAGCCTGCAGGCATTTCTTCATTTATTTAGAGAGCCACATAAACACAAACATTATTATCACTTACTGTTCATTTTCATAATATAGTTTGCCAATGGCCCAGGCAATGATGATTGGGCAAGGAATACCTGCAACATCAAAAAATCAGAATTTAATCACAACCTATGTATGTATATATAATACAGATGTAGATTCAGATTTGTGTGAGGAGAGCCTTCGTTAATGACCCAGAATATGCTAAATACAAGTGATCCTATCTTGGTATACTTGAGACATCACAATTGCTAAGACCTCTTTATGTATATATAAAAAAGATCATCTCAAAAAGAGAAAACTCTAGTACCAGTAAGAAAAGTTAATAAAACTATTATCAAACACACATATATATCTATATTTCTATATAAAAGATCAGAACAATTTTGGCTGGCTTAAAGGCAATTTTGGTCCCTTTTAATTTTCCTGCTGTTGATACGGCAAAACCTTAGAGACATCACTTGGAGATGGGTGTTTAGATTTTTATTTCCCAGCCTGCAAGAAGGTTGTAAATATACTGGGCTCTTTGGATGAAGCCCATTTTCAAAATTTTCAACAACTCTTTTAGTCGAGCCTTCCCCATGAAACAGGATTAGGCCATGAATTTTGCTTTACAGGGCTCGTTTTCTCAATTATACCAAGAGGTGCCACAATAGTGCTCCTTGGCTGTGCAGCCTCATAGCAGTAGATGAGGTGTGTTATTACACTTAATGTCCCTGCGGTGCCACATCCTCTGCTTTCCAGTCCTATTGTTATACCATTCTCATTTCCAGAGCCTTGCCCTTGTGCTTGTTTTGTGTTAGGCCTTCAGAGTCCAACTGGTTTCAGAGGGTTCTGTTGGAGCAAGATACTGCAAATGAGGAAGAGTAAGTGGAACTGGCTTTTTGACACAGACCTGGGGGAAATGGGAACTTTTTCACCCAGATATTCCCCAACCAAACAGTGGATCAATGTCAAAATTGGAGGAGTAGAGTTTCCCCTCTCCATTTCCCCTTTACCATTAACCTATCAACTCAGGCAAAACCAGACAAGACAAGCCTCTTGAGCTCCATCCCTCATTCCAACCTGCAGGTTCATGTCCCTCTGAAATCGCTGTTACTCTAAAATGAATTCATGACTCAGTATGACTTGAACCCTCATACAGGGGTCATCATGGCCTTGTATCAAACACTGCCTTTAACCCCCAATTTGTTGCTTCTTCTGTGGGAAATAGAGTCTTTAAAGAGATGAAGCAGAGTGGAAAGAACCATAGCACAGTAGGGAAAGGTCTGAATTGCTAAGTGGTCTTCTTTCACCTCAGGAAGAAGTATAGAGCAGCTCTGATCTGCACTGCCAGCCCTGGTGGCTCTTGTTCCCTACAAACAATTGTGCTGTCTTGCGTCTTGTTCACCACTGACTCACAGGGTCTGGTGCACTTATTTCCCCCATGTTCTTGCTAGGCATGAACATACAAAATGTGCCATGTCCTTTCTTCTAGAGGAAAACATCTCACTTTTCCTTGTGAGGTGAAGAACTGGGATCTGAGAATGAGGATGGTAAAAGATTGCATATGGGAATGCAGAGCCGAGCCAGAAAGTGCCCAAAAGGGTGAGAAGAAAGGTATACTCAGCTCACACCACTCCTATATTAAAAATCAGAGACCCAGAATGCTCTGAGAGAGGTAGGGAGGGAAAATACTAGGGACCAAACCAGGCAGGGGGTCTGTGAGAGCTGTGTTGAGTATCTGATTTTCCAGTTTGGTGACAGAACTGGAAAATATTGGAAAAAAAAATGAATCATTTCTCCACAGAAACACTTTATTTCTACTACAACTCCTTGTTCCTCCAGTTTGATTTTTGATTGAATGACATATTTTGTTCTAAAGGCTGTTTCTGCCTTCAGAACTGCAGTTCAATCACTTCTGTTCAATTCTGAGAGGAAAGGGCATTTCTGAACAAAATGTCATTCTATTTTCAGAAAACAAAATATTTGTGACTTTTTTCCACCTTTCTTATTTCAACAGAAAAGAACTGCTAAATTCAAGTTCTGTCTGAGCTCAGGTTTTGCCAAACCTCTCCTGGCCAATTTCAAATCATGGATATTTGGTTGGAAAGGACCTCTGAAGGTATCTAGTCCAATCTCCTGTTCAAAGCGGACCTATCAACACTAGTTCATCTCAGCCAGGGCTTAGCCTTGCTGAATTTTCAATACCTCCAGGGTCAAAGATTCCATAGCTTCTAAGCCACCTGTTCCAGTGTTGCACAACCTTTTTGGTAAATTTTCTGCTTTCTTAATGCCCAACTGGAACCTCCTGGTCTGCAGTTTGTGGTCATTGTCCCTTCTTATAACATCTGCTATTACCAAGAAGAATTTGGCTCCATCATCTTTGTAATTATCATTCAAATCATTCTTGGTAGCTACAGATCCCTCCTTAGCTTCCTCTTTGCCAGGTTAAACAAGCTCAGCTCATTCACTCCCACTTCACAGGTCATGTCCTCTAGATCTCTGATCATATTGGCAGCCTTCTACTGGATAGTCTCCAGTTTTTCCACGATCTTTTTGATCTATGAGACCCAAAACTGACCACAGTATTCCAAAACAAGCCTTACCAAAGCTGAGTAGAAAGTATTAGCAGCTTCCCCCAATCTGGTCACACTCCTAGTGCAGCCCAGTATGTGTTTTACCTTATTTAGGATAAGAAGGCACTGATGGTTTATACTCAGCCTGCATCCACTGCAAGCCTTACCTCCTTTTCAGCAGGACTGCTACTCTGACAGGCGGTTCCCAGCCTGTACTAATGAACCACCTTATGTTGAGGCAGCTAGGGAAAAGGTGCAGCCTTTGCTCTGACCCAGGCTGACACAGTAAAAGCAAGGTAGCAGGGCATGCAATGAGCTAATTTCCCATCTTTGAATAGCCACAAGGATAGTATAAAGGTGACATATGACTTTTTGTTAAAGGCTGTTTTCTAGGAACAAATGTCTCTGCAGTCCAAAAGACAGCTGTAAAGTTGGACTGGCAGATAATCAGTTTTCTCTTCTAGTCAGCTCCTTAACTCCACTTAGAACTGTCTCTTGAGACAGAGTGGTCCACAGGGCATGGACAGTGCCTTTTCTGTTTCATGGCGTGTTGAGCAGCAGTGTAGAAGGGCTTGTGATCACTGCTTTGTTAATCAAAGTGAAAGGGACATGGTATGAACTGCTGCATTCCCAAATTGCCAAGCCTGAGAGTTCTCTTTCTTTCCTCAACACCAGGTGCCTGTGGATCTAAATGCAGAAGATAAATCCAGCAATAACCTATCAGCTTTATGTCATCATTACTGTGAAGAACTAAACCTGATCTTATGCTATTCTGACAAAGTTAGGTTTGAATGTCAGATTTCACCACAGTGGGATTTTTAAAGATTATTCTTGCTGGTCTTGTCTTTATCACTTTAATATCAGGTACCATGTAGCACCATTTTAAACACACAAGTCACTTACACCATCCTATGAAGAGAAAGACCCATTTCCGCAGCTTATCTGTGGAATAAGTCATCACTATAGCCGTGTGTAAGTAGCAGCCTTCCACAAACATCCAGAAGAAGTTGGTCACCACAAAATAATTGTAGACAGTGGTAATACATCTACACCAAGGCTGGAAAGGAAACAGAAAAGAATATTTTAAAATCATGGTGAGGATATTTAAAAGATTCTCTATGTTGTTATTCCCTTAAAACTCAGTGGTAGAATTCATTAATGGGATGCACATTTATACCTGTGACTTGGAATTACAGTATCTTATGTGCTCATGTCAGGAACTCACAGCTATGTCTGTGACTTTCTGCTGAGGCTTGGCTTTGACCACAATATGCAGGATCTCCTGTACCTGAGCATGTCTGGAAAGTTAATATGTCATAAGGCATGTCCACACCAGCAGCCTACAAACAGTTTAAGAAGCAGCTGTGTGGAGAGAAGACAAGAGGAGGCAGGTCATTCACCTACAGATAATCTTTCAGAGAGGTACAGTCACAGCCCAGGGTCGTATCCAAAGGTGACTTAAGAGTCCAAGCCTATCTTAGCATATTTAAGCATATCTTAGGCAGTATAACCCACCTGAAAATGCAAGATAGAAGTTAATGTCCCAGTCTTGCTTCATTTCCACTGAAGGGAAGAAGCACTATTGACATTTAGAAAAAAAGATATTTCACTTCAAGATATGCTTTTATCAGCTACTTCATCACCCCTATTCCTGCCATTAGTGCTTCAGTCTGTAAGTCACATCACCACAGACATCACCTCTGAATTTTTCCAAAACTTCAACAGGAATTTTTGGTCAGGCTCAGTGTATCAGTAAAGGCATATTCTAATGGCTGTGCAGTGAGATCACAGCTGTGGAATACACAATTAGCACTAGAGAGGCAGATGGTAACACCACATCAATAAATCACAAGTAACTGCTGATGGTAATTTTCATAGTGCTACATGCAGAAGTCTGGGAAAATTTCTTTCTGACCAAGCAGGAATTCAGCATATTCTCTGAAGCATGACATTAATTACCTGTGTTAGCTGGTATCATTGATGTTATTTTGGTCTCACCATTCTCCAGTCTTTTAATTAACTCTACTAACATATTTGAAACTTTCGACCCTCGGCTAATCCTATTTCAGATTTCATATGCATGAGGTATTGATGGTCTCTAGGCAGTCAGCAGAGCAGCAGATGCACTATTAAACCCAGAAAAATTCTGTGGACTAAGAATTTATTGGACAAGAAACACATTTACAAAATGATAGCCCATTTAAAAGTTGTGATCACTTCTGTTTAGTGAGCTGAAATAAACAGAAGAAATCTTTTGGATGTGTTAAAGCTTTCATTTCTGTATTATTTCATTAAGATTTGAAATTTAGTTTGGCTTCATCTTTAAAATAGGATTAAAGCCCAAAACAACTCAGAAGAAGAAGAAAAATTTTGTTTTCAAATTTTTGTTCAAACCAAATTAAATTTTCTTTTTTTTTTTTTTTTTTTTCTCCTTTTGGCCTGAGCAAAGGAAAATAAAGCCACAAACCAAAAATAAGCCCCTATTTTTGGTTAACACCAAGCAAATATTTTGGCTCCATTCCTGATTGATCCCCAAACTAGTAAGAAAAGATTCTTAAGTCTCACATTCAATTTTCTGAAGGTATGAGCATGAATTAAGTTTTTATCTGTGGCCACATTCTCAAGTAAATTCTCTGATATAATGCCTAGATTCTCGTTCCTCTCTCTATCAGTTGCAACACTTACACATCTTTTGTCCTCTCCACAGCTGTCTCTGTTTACAAGAATTGTAAAAAATAATTGTACCCGAGCCTGTTGTTCCTGTGTCATGACTGAGTGGAATTGGCCAGTGGATTGGGAAGGTACCGGGACAGATACCGACAAATACACATAGTGGTGGTGAGATCTCCCTCTGCCTCGTTTCCATAGGAAACCAGAATAAAATGAATTTTGAGCAATTCCTTTTGGAATTGTGGATTTACTGTTATTGAATAATAAACCAAATTAGCAAAACTAATTTATTTATACCTTTTCATTTATTTGACTGAGGATTCTTGATCCCCACATGTACCCACCATTAGGCTCCAGATATCTTCAGCAATTCCCCTTCTTGATTTATTAACATAAGCTCTATAGCTTCATGCAAAATGTTTCCACATTGAGTCCTTGATGCTTCTGTAAATGCACTTTTTAATCTCCATTGATCATCACAGAAGACATCACCTCATTAGCTAGCATAAATGATGTTGCTCCCATTTATTTTGTTGGTGTTACTTTGACTCTGACTTATACCAGAAGAAGAATATAACAAAGTTATCACTAAGCTTGTATAAAGCACCTTCCCCAAAAGACTTCAGTGTTTTGCAGAGAAAAGATGAGTTAATGAAAACTGAGGCATGTGAGGATCTGTCATTATATTTGCACATTTATATTTTCCTTAGCACTTTGTGGTCACATTTTAAAGGCATTTGAGTGCCTGACTCCAATGAATTTTTCCTAAATAACTGTAAAAATCTGTATTAAGATTCTCAGTATTGTCATGAGAGTAAATCATGCAGCATAAAACTGTCAACAATGAAGCTCACATACCACCATTTTCTGTAGTCTGAAAATGTCAGAAACACAGACAAAGCAAACAGCGAATTAACAGAAGCTACATCTTGTCATAGGAGCATCTGATTGAATAATAATACAGAGTTTTGCATAGATTTTTTTATTCAGGTACTATTTACTTTTCTGTTTGTTTTCCTAGAGAACAGGATTAAAGTTCAGATGATAAATCTTACATTTCAAAAGTTAACCAAGGATGATGAGTGCCCAGCTGACATTAAAATGAATGGATAGCCAGGTTCCTGGGGTGTTTTTCAATTTCTACAGAACCAGTTCCTACATGAGTGAAGCCACATTGACTGATATCAGATATGGATCCAGCCCATAATCTACAGACACTTTAGTCCAACTGCTTTCCACAGAGTGGAGAGTATAAAGGGGGGTGGGTGGATGTGGGAGGGCGTGTGTATGTTTGTGTGTGTGTGTGAGCACTATTGCAAGGGAAAGGGAACAGTCAAAAAACCTGCCAAGGGATTACCAAAAAGGACTACTTTTTATTGCGCAAGCTGATGAAGAAAAATGCTTTTTCTTTTGGAGTGCTTTTAATCCACTCCGAAATACTCATATTATTGGGGCTGCTGGTGACTAAACAGGGGGAGACATTACAGTACTTACATAGGGACTGATTCAATGTCCTAATTCAGACATGCGCTTGCAGGTGGAGTTGCTTGAGTGAACAAGAAATAACATGGCGAGTAAGAGAAATGGGAGCATGGTGACATGCTGTATTTCTCAAAGGTGCTCAATGCCATGCAGAAAAGACGCCCCACTTCTTGCCCATTCAGCCTTCCCATTTTTTATTGTGTGGATCTGTCTCATGCCTTGAACTGTCTCTGACTCTCAATCACCCATCAGAAAGCTGACTTAGCTATGCCAGCAGAAAACTCCTCCTTATTTTTTTTTGTTGGGCAGGTTAGTTCTCCACCAGTTTAGCGAGTCCAGTTTCCAAGAGTGCGGTCCTCCCCAGGGGATCAGGAAAAGGAACACTCAAAAGAAGCAGCAGGATCTGGAGTAAAACATTTGGGTCCCTGGAGGAGTGAGCTATCTCTCTCAATGACAGGGACTTGCTGCTAGATGCAGCTTATACCACACAACTTCATCCTCAAGGCCAGCACAGTTAAGAAGGGATTAACAGAAAAAATAGAATTTTGTAAAAAAAATCCCACTGATATCAACAAACAAAAATTCTACTGTTTCACACCCTATTTCTTATTTTCTTGGGAGTCCCACTGACTCTAGGCAGCAAGGTGCTCACTGTCATCAGACAAAGCAGCTGACTCAGAGCATCAACAGCCAAATCAATTATTTCTGTACCCCTCTGATGAACATGATACCCTCTGGAATGAACACTTTCCCCACACATGTGCCCATCACTGCAAGATGCAGTGCACAATACTGTGTCCCACAGTATATAAATTTGTAAAGTATCTATGCTCAATGAAGATAAGAGAGAAGATTTTGGACAGGTTTTTTACTTTAAAATACCCTTTGATATTCAGTAATGAGGAAATAAAGGAAAATTTAGCAAATCTAAGCTCATTTTCTTTATCTTTTTGAAATTACATGAAAGCATTAATTACATTAAATTACACAGAAATTACATTACTCTGAGCAAGCGGATAGGTGTCCTCAGTAATATTTCTATCAGTTGAACAAATTCAGCATCCCTGTCTGCCCCCAAACTACATGGCAGAGACACGCCGGCTCCAAGCACTTACTTCATTGCTTTCATGTATGTTGTGATCTATCATTTGAAGCAGAAACCACATCACATTCCTCAGGATGAACGTGGTGATCAAGTTCCAGTGGATAATATTCCGCAGGCATCGGATACTCCTAAACAGGGAAATACATTTAAATCATCATCTACAGTGAATATATACAGATACATATTAATTAATATATAAAATAAACAAGCTAATTTTGTTCACTTGCAAAATTCCTCATGGTTTGTCCCCCTCAATTACTTTTCTTATTCTATGAAACAGGAGTTTTGTCTGTCCAATGGATCAGCAATAACAGCCTACGAGGCTGGCTATAGCTTATATCTTTAACAATAAACCATGTACAACAATTTGTCTTCATAACATGAGGAGCTCCCTCTGAGCAGAATCAATTTAAGTAAGTGAAACAGGATCTACCAGAAAGACTCGAATATTCAGATGGTCATTTCATCCTTGGTTATCATTTTCGTTCCCCTCTACTCCATCCCTAGCACAGCTAGAATTGATAAGCCCCTAAACAACCTGGCTGCACTGGAGTCTGTTGCATTGTTCACAGAAGGAGATTTGGTGACAATTATCTGTGCTGGAGTGGCAAAACTGGAATAGTTTACATCTGGTTAGTCTCTTGAACAGGTTCGCCTGTGTGAAGTTCAAAGATTTCAGACCCATTAATGCAATAGGAAAGCATGGATTGCCTGGTTTTCAGTCCTGGGATTAGTTGGCTGTACCAAGCTTTCTTAAACAGGGTAGAGATGCATATTCTCCTTCACCAGAAAATATTTGTCTGTTTTTAGTCTTTCCTCAGCCACCATTCAGATTCAATGTAAAATATGAGCACAATGTAAAATACAAGCTACAATAAGTTGGGACACAGTGCCATAAAACAAAAGAGGGAACTTCTTAAACAGTGCTTGCTGCTGAAAATGGCACCAGGAGGCAGCCAGTGCGTGATGCTGATGCCAGCAACCAAAATATCACTGAAGCTAGACAGAAAGTTTCTCATTACAGATTCAATCATCTAAGAGAAGATTATTTGTCTTCTCATTCTTTGTGAAACGGTAAAGAAAGGCAAGTGCCAAGTTGCAGTTGTGCAGTTACAGACTCTTCATTAAATGATCTTTTCCCAGCTAAATGCAGAACATTCCAGTTATTAAAATCACTTCCACAGGGGTTCAGTCAGTGCATTTCCCAGGATCATTGGGTTAGGATTCTGAATCTGACATGTCAGTGTCCCTGTTTACAAAGAAAGCTGTCAAATAACATGAGAAAAACACAGAAAGTGGTGTTCTCAAACCTGCTCAACTGTAACTGACTGTAGCTCATCCCAGTGACAGCAAAAAGAGAAAGCACCATCAAGTAAGCAACTTTGCTACTGCCTTAGGTCTTTTGCCTGACAAACAAGCCAGACTTCTTAATGACAAACGCTATTTTGCTATCATAAAAAACTTATTACACTTTTTCTAGGACTTGATTAGTCAGTCTTAGGGCCAGAAGCAATTCCGTTATGCCTCACAAACCTCTCAAAGATTTCACAGCAATAGAGTAAAAAAAAAACAAATAGAGTACCTCCTACATTTAAGATACTGCAATTTACAGAAAGTTCCTCAGAGGTATAACCCTGCTAAGTCAATGTTAAAATAGCTTCTGAGTTTAACAATTCAGGCTCCAGGTACAAAATTGGTATTTGGTTTTGAGAGCCTCAGTGACTCATGACCGGAGTAAATTTGGAAAAATCTCCAGCTGCTCAGATCCATTCACTTTTATTCTGGCTACAACACCCCAAAGCATTGCTCTCAGTGTAAGCTGTGCTACCAGGGAACATGTCAGAGTCATGTCTCACTTCGAAAATTTCACTTCTAACAAAAGGCAAAGGTTCACAGTTAGGCTTTCAAAGAAACTAGGCAACCAACATCTACTGCCTTTCATGCCGAACCCCAGGAACCCATGTGGCTCTGGACAGACTTTGAAACATGCTGTTAAGGTCTGCTCTCTGTTGATTGTTCTGCACATAAACTTCCTGCGGCTGCCGTTCATCTAGATGCTTTATTCACTCCCTTCAGTTTAAGGATTAGCAGATTAAGGAAGAAGTTTGAAACACTGCTTCTAGGGGAGAAGGAGGCAGGGGATTAGAACCTGAGGAAATTCAGGTCAAACTGATGAGTAACTGACATGAGATTAATTGCTTTTGAGAGCTCTAACAACAAAACAGATCCAGCACACTTGCCACTTGAATGTATTTCTTGACAAAAAAAAAAGTTAAAAGAGTGGGGAAAAAAAAAATCCTTGCACACCTCTCTTTAGATGTAGTTTAATCATCTCATATGCTGGAACATCACTAAATCTGGCTGGGAGAAACACTGTTCCTACAAGATTTACAGCAGGACATTGGATTGGCCACAGAAGCAAATAGGATCAGACAAATAGTTGTAGACTTTTTGATTCAGTTCATAAAAAGAGCTTTTCCCCAGAGCAGGATCCTAGTCAGCGAAACCACATTCTCTTACGTGTCTTGGAATATAAAGACAATCTCAGCCTCTACTGACTGTATGATCTTTGCCCTCCTTACTACTTCTTGGTTCATAGTGTTTTGTCCTCTTTGCCCATCAGTCTGAACCCAGCCATTGGCTTTTGTTTGGATTGCAAGATGCTTTGAACACAGGCAAACTGATGTCTGTTTAGGACACAGAGCAAGAGGGTCTGGTCTGTGTCTTCTCCCAGGCTCCATGGATAATTATGATCAAAACTATCCTTGTTTTCAAAAAGCCACATGTGCTGAAGGAAGATGTGTTCTTGGTATAAAATTAAGTAAATTATAAATGTGGCCAGCAGTTGGAATTTACTAAAATGAAGCCTGAAACCTTGTCAAACAATACTTTGGACATGAAACAGGGACAGTTGGCTCCCATGTCCGACTTCCTTTAGCAAAAGCCATACTTTGGGTATCAACAACCTTGTACCATGGCCTCATTCCTTTTTCGAGACACCCTGTGTGTGGTACGGATAGTAAGTAGATGCTTCTACCTGCTATAAAGCTTTACGTCTATGGGGATAACAGAGCAAAGAAGAGAAGGCTGTAGAACAAGCATTTTGCTTTTCCAGCTGCAGTCACTCCCCAGTCACATTCCCCAGCACATTGTGACCTTGGTAGAGCAGCACAAATAGGTGAGGAGCAAGATTTATTTTTGTGATGTCTGGTCCACTACTCTGCTGGTGTTAATAGCAGTTGGGACTTTAGTGAAAATATCGGTATGGTCAGTCTGAGAAACACAAGTCTGAAAGTGCTGCAGAGTTTCTCAATGGCTCGGGCAGTGTTGTGACCGCAGGCACAGAATGGTTTTAACCTTTTCTCTTTTTGTTTTTTCCCTTTTTTTTTTTTTTTCTTTTAGAAAGTCCCAACTTGAGACTCAGTTTGTTTTTGTTTGTAGAGAGCCCAGAGCACATGCTTTCTGTTTGTTTCTGTCTCCTAACTACTACTAGCAAAGAAACCACAGTGGCAGTAATGTAATTTATAGCCAAGGGTAGGAAAAGCTTGAGAAATAACTGTGTCAGGTTCATACTGGAGAGGAAGAAACAGCAGGGTTCATATAGCATGGAGGCTGGAGGGCACAGCAGAGGAGGACTGCAGCTAAATCAATTGATGTAACAAGGGAAAGATCTCTTGCCAGCCACCTGAGAAAGCTGTTCTCATTTACAGGCACTGCTGGTGAATGTTATTATTGTAATTTAGTATGCATCTAGAGGGATACTGACTGAGATAAGGGTCCCCTCATTTCAGGCACTATTCATGTGAGACTGTTCTGCTGGGCTCAGGAGCTTACCATGTGCATAAAGTTTATCTCTGTAGGCAGACTGGAGTCTGAGGTGGACAGTCAATGAAGGACATGTCTCAATTTGGACAACAAAGCCAGTGAGTAATTGGAGACCTGCAGTGCAGTTAATGTTTGGTGAAAGGACAAAGCCGACCTTGTCATACTCACTCATCTCAAAGCCTGAGGAAGAAACTCATAATACTCATAGGGGTAATTTATCCACCACAGGTCTTTTCCTGGCTCTTGGTAGATGGAAGTTAGCTTAAATTTATCAGCCTTAATTTAAATCTAAATACTACTGTTACTCACAAAAATGACCTGTCCCTTTTTGAAAACTTGTTAAAGAGTCATAACGATCTTCTATGACAATGAACTCCACAGTTCCTTTCTCCATGATTAATTGATGCCTTCACTCTGTGGAGTGAAAAAGTAAGCAAGTCTGTGCTCCAGAAACAGCAATAACTGCCCCCACGGGCAGCACTGCAAAGGAATTCACATCACATTGTAACTGGCAGGAGGTGGAATTTGAAACACATTGAGTTGTATTACAAGTCAGTGAATTGAGCTTTCCTAGAGTCACAGTGATTGGCATTCCCTTACAACTCAGAAGCTAATAAATTTGAGGCTTTTCTTACCTCAGTAGGGAGATATCAGAATTTGGAAGTATGGCAGTGAAAACATCAGGAAAATGAGAGTACAGAAAGCAGAGAACTACCTTCTCAAGAGGGCAAAGAGTCATGTGAGAGAGGGGAGAAACTGGAGATAAGGAGACTGGTGCTGAACTGCTGCTTCAGACATGATTACAGCATTGCTAGGAAGAAACTGCAAGTTAGCGAGGCTTTTAAAGTCCCCTAGTCTAAAAGATCAGATGAAAGAAGGTCTCATATTCATCTTCATGTCAGGTAACATTGTTAATCCCATTTATGCTTGTTTTACAACCCCTGATGTGGATTGAATAGTGCAAGTGTATCCCAGATTCCAAGAACAGCAGTGCAAGGCACCATCCAAGAGAGCCTGAAGACTGGCGCATCACAAGACACCATGGACTGAGGCTATGTGCTTCCATTAAAGAGCCTTTCCCTGTATTTGCTTCTTGCCCCGATCCTTTTCAGACAAAAAGCGTTGGTCAAGACCTTGTCTGGACTCTTTTAGGAACTTTTCCCTCGTGCACGGTTTCAAGGACAGAAGGAATAAGAAAAGAGGTTGTAGCAATTCAGGCAGAACAGACTTAAAGATTGAGGCCATAACATAAAGATATAAAAACTTCCATATTCAGTCAGACCAATGAACCATGCAGGCTGTG